AAAAATTTTTTTTTAAAAAAAAAAAAAAAAAAAAATTGTTTTCAGTACAATCAGGATCAAAGCCAGGTATTTAAAAAAAAAATTAATCAGTAAGTGGGAAATCCTGGTTTTCAGACAGCTCCTCTGTACCCCAGACTTCTAGTGTGCAAATCATTTACCCGCTGTGTCAAAAGTTGCCATACTGTAAAATAAGGATAACATTTCCTTTTTCCCACCTAATTGCCACCTCCTCAGAGCAAAAAGTATTTTTTACTATATGACTCAAACCCTCAGTTGGTGCCTTTCAGCACTTCGTACTACAAAGTACAGAACAGAATATAAAGATATACAAGCAATTTGAAAAACCATCACAGCATCTCACTGTTACTCTCTAGTGCAGATAAACTAAACTGTTTGATATAAATGTTGCTAAAATAAGTTCAGGACTAAGTATTACATACATATTATTAAAGACATCCCCTAATTAAATCTGAATACTTTTTTTTTTCTTTTTAAACAGTCACAGCTACCATTTCCTCTGTCATGGACTCTAGTCAGTACTAAGTGATTATAACTCAGACTGACAGACTAACTTTGAACTTTATTACAACCAACATACTAAAATGCTAACAAAGAGCAACTGTTGAGCAAAGTACATAGGATTAATGCAAAGCTGGCGCAAGCACTCCTACACGAAAATCTAGGGCAACCCCAACATGCGGATTGATGGAAGCATGGTCTTCTCTCCAACTGTTTCAAAAACAGGCCTGGGCAATTCAGTGGAACAGCCAAGCAACACACGAAGTTAGTTGTAGCTAACTCCCACAGCATCATACCTGTGAATATTTTGTGAAAGCTCCTAAACTGAAAACCATGCATCAGCCATTACCAGCAAAGACTAAGAGGTAGCCAAACTTCATGCTTAAGGGGAGAAAGGGAGGGTGGGCAGTGCTGGAGAATAACTGGAGAACAAACAACAGAAGGTAAGATAGGTATGATTGCATATTAGTGAGACAGCTTGAGACCTAAAGACCACCAGGAAAAAAGCTTATCATCAAAAGTGTGAGCCAAACCCATTTTAAAAATAGAACCAACCAAGAGGGACTGACTTTCCCCTACAGATGGATCTGTAACGTGCTGAAACATTTTCAAGAGGCTCTCTCAGGAACATGTCCACTACAGTTGAATGTAACACACACACACACACACACACACTTTCAAATTCAACACATAAAAGTCCCCTTTGGCAGCTATTCATCACAGCAGCAGTGCCGCATGGAAAATTTGGGCATGTCTGAGTAGGATAAGAGTAGATCATTTCTTCATCATGGGAATGAGGCTATTTTTGTTCTTGAGACAAGTGGGCTTCCCTGCTTCTCCCTCAGCTTGTTGAATGAAATCATTGAGTTGTATATACTTTCACCATTTGGTCATGGGAAAGTTATTGAAAGCTACATATCCTCCAGTTTGACCTTGTGGCTCACCTTTGACATAACACCAAAAAAACGTTATCAGACAACAGCTATATAGGTGGACCTATGCACTGTGCAAAATGTTCTTTGTCCTCCTTTTCTTTGCATCCCATCTTGTCATAACCATAAATTGTGAGCTCTCAAAAACAGATATATTCTGTCTGGTATCCAGTGCAAGGATCTTTGGTTGGGGTATCTGGACACTTATTTCTAAAAAATTACAGATATCTTACCAGCTCAAATTCAGAAGATCCAATATAGGATCCCTAGAGTTTTAGGGAAGGCTACATACTTACCAAATGAGACAGCAATTGTAAAAGCAAAATCTGAATGAAGCAGGTGTCACAAGCACTTTGGCTACAGTGTTTGATCAGATCCTACCTGTGTGGTTGTTTGTGTAAAGTCTTCTCTTGATTTTGTTTTTATATTCTTTTTTGTTCAAAGCAATAAGAACTATATGCATAGTATGCCTAAATATGGACCACAACAAGTAATTTGAATCTGTGTTTACTTATTTCTCAAGATAAAAACCCATTACACCTCATTGACTAATCAGAAATCAGAACAACAGCAGAATATCAAGTACACTGGATATTCGATTGGTTTTCTGGAGGTGTGTGGTAAGATTCTCTCTTTTTTACAGTAATAAGGCAGCTAAAAATACAGACTAAGATGTAATGTTGCTAAGGTGCCAAATTCCCACTGAAATTAGAAAATAGCTTGGTCCTTTTGAAAATCCTACTTGACACCTAGATAATAGGGCTGTGCGAAATTTCACCAGCTGTTTCATTTTGATGCTGTCTCAGCTCATTTTGAGTTTAAAACAGCAAGATCTAAATGAAATGAAAGGTTTCAAAACAGCCTTAAAACAAAATAAGGGCAGTTGAAACATTTCGAAGATGGGCTTGCTTGCAGCTAAAGAGAAACTAAGAAGAGGGAGGGGAAAGAAGGGGGAAGGAGTGCTGATATTGACATGTGTAGCTGGCCAGTGATTGTGGTCCCTTCCAATCCCAGTGCTCTGGGGGGAGGGATGGAAAAACAGCATGAAAAGCATTGTTTGAACTGAGCTTTCTCTGTGCCTTCACCCTTTCAAGTGACACAAGTTTTTCTGTGAACAGTTTGAGGTGCAGTTTCCCAGAAACCCCGTACCTATCTCCTTGAAACTTGGCAGGCTTCCTGGCCTCAGAAGGGGCTACCATCCCTGGATGTTTCATCCAAATAAGGCAAGAAATGACGACATTATAGGCAGTTTCATGATTCCCCATTATAGCCTATGGGTGAAACATTGAAACAGCATTGAAACAGCGAAAGTTTCAAAGAAACAAAACAGAAAAGTGCTTCTGAAATTAAATGAAACTCAACACGAAACACTCACAACAGTGAAATGGAAGTCGAAACAAAACAGTGCTGTTTTGCACAGCCCTACTAGATAACTTTAAAAGAGTCTGATGCTGGGATGTGCCACTAAACCATTGTTTGATCTCTGGCATGTCACTTCATCTGTCTGTATTCCTTTCCCCTTCTACTTCCTGTCCATTTAAATTGTAAGCTGCCTGCAACAGGAAGGAACTCACACTGTTGTTACAGTCATGAATATAGAAAGTCATAAATTGTTATAGTCACTAGCACAAAGGAGTCTGCAAAAGGGTGGTCTGGCCTTTTACAAGGGAGCACAGGACTGTTGAAGAAGTGCAGCTACAGGGATTTAGATAACGAGGGAGTATCCCACAAATTCCTTCCCAGCCTTCCTATTGAGCCTAAGGAACTTCCAGGCCTTGACTCTGCAAAAGGATACATTCAGATGGATCATGCACCCAATCCAGAGACTACTAATAGATTTTACCCTTGCCATGAGTTAAATGCACTTAAAAGACAAGTATCCATGTGCTAGTGTGTGAAAACTCTTGCCAAGGCACTCTGATCAGCTTCAAGTTATGCCTTTTTGGGCACGGAGCATCTCCAGCTGGTGTTACACAACTCATGTTGCCCTAACGTTAGTCTGCTTCACTGTCAGGGGACTCCCATGCAGTGTTGGGCTCCCAGCCTCCTTACTGCACTGAAGCCTTGAACCAACAAGGGTCCAGTGTGGTAGAGCATGGGAGCCCAACACAGCTGTTTGTCAGGCTCCCCCTTGTTCAAGGTTCTGATGCAGTGGGGCAGCTGGGAGTGATACAGGTGCAGCACAGCAGAAAGTCCCAGCCCCCACACCACACAGGAGCTGGTTCAAACTCTGGCACA